CTAAGGCAGGCACGGTCCCTAAGCCACATGCTTGTTGTTTAAACAGAGAGGGGGAGATGTTGAGAGCCACAGCCTAAGGGGCCCCAGCAAACTTCCAGCTGCCAGCAAACTTCCAGCTGCCAGTTGATGATTGGCTCACAGCTTCCCCAGCGAACTTCCAGCTGTCAGCTGATTGGCTCCTCCTGGTGATGCTCATTGGGCTGTTTCCCCGCCCTTTCAGACCACGGAGCTGCTCATTGGGGGACTTTTTTTGGCTCCGCCCATGCGACCCAGCCAATCAGCCTCAAGAGCAGTAGGAGTGGGGGGGGGGGTTGAGAGGCTTGTGGGAAGCCAGTGGTGGCAGTTGTGCTCTGAGGGAATTCCTGAAGAGCTTGTTGGTGTGGTGTGTGTGTTCTAAAAATATAGTTCGTTTCTGCTTGATAAGAGCCTCCTGAATTGTGCCCAGCCAGACTGCGACAGTTGTAGAAGGTAGTGTTAATGTTTGGGTATCTGAAATGCATGAGAATAGAGGGAACTCAGTACAGAGAAAGTGGTTTGAAGGGAGATAGTCTTCAGAATCCCAGGTGTGTGTGTGGGGGGGACAATGCAGGAATGTATTTAGAGCTGCTATATGACCAAAGGATGAACTACTATAGGGAAAGGCAGACTGGATTAAGGATTGGCTCCAGACCTGGATCATGAACCTAGCTTTATGATGAGCCAAGGAATTCTTTAGGATTTAATTTTTTTATTGTATAAAGGAAGTGAAAATTATTTAACTAGATTATGGTCTCACTTTTTTCCCTTTACAATCATGGTCATGATCCTGTGACTATCTGGAGCAAGGGGAAGCAGCACAAGCCACCATGATGCAACTGCAGTAGGGTTCTAAGTATACAAAAGCAGGAGAAGCCACATCTTAAGGAATTCTGGGGGCTGCAATTCAATGAAAAAATATTTACTAGGGTCTGGGATGTGGCTCAAGCATGCGCAGGGCGTTGTGTTCGATCCTTAGCACCACATAAAAATAAAATAAAGATGTTGTGTCCACCGAAAACTAAAAAATAAATATTTTAAAAAATTCTCTCTAAAAAAATATTTACTGGGTATTTTCTCTGTGCAAATATTGTATTCACTTTGTAGGAAACTAGGGCCAAAAATAATATTAGGCATTTCAGAATGGCCAGAACTCCAACATATTTCCGCTTTAAAAACGTATTTCTGTGTTTGACCTTATCCATGGGCTCAGCTTGCCAAGCCTAGCCTTTCAATCTAACAAAGTTAAAAGAGAGTTCCATTGGTCCCTTCTTCCAAAAGGGCCTTTTGTGAAGTTTCCCACTGTCCCAAGCCATATCTTTATTATTTCTCATTTATAAAGCAAAACACACTTTTCATATCCAAATATTTTCCTATTGAAACACCAATTAATATCCACTTAGAGCTGACATTTTAGTCTCCATAGACTAAAGAAGAAGTGGCCTCACTTTTTCTAAGTTTCAGAGAAACGCTCAATTCTTTTAAAGTATCCTTCCAGAAAACATTTGAGGGTGATCCATTCTCGTTAGCAAACGCCAGGCAAACCGTACAAGACACTGGACAACATATTGCAACCCACAGGCAGCTTCCTTTGACTCCTTATGCATACATCAGATTGTAAAAATAAATCCCAAATCATTCTTAAATATGTGTGAGTCAGGACAACTTACACAAACACATATGAACGCGGACCTAAATGTTCCCCTGTCCCGCTAGGCTGCATTGAATCAATCAACGTGTCCAGGACTCACACACCCAAGGGCATCCTTCAGGAGATGAGCATACAGAGGATACTCACACTCAGGGAAGAGGGTACCGTGCGTACACGACGTCCCCACTCACAGGACACTCGGGAGGCCACCGAAGCCCTGGCAGCCCTCACCCCTTGCCACGCGCCAGGGTGGAGAGTGAGGATCCTGCACCCGGCAGAAGATAGACCCGGCACATAGGTACAGGGTAGGGACCAATCACAGCCCTGTCACCGGCTTTCTTAGCCAATGGGGAAGCGGGGTGGTGGGCCAATGGGAGCGTGGGCAGTGGAGAAACTGTAACAAGTTGCCAGAATGATACACCAAAGGGTGAGTGCGGGGCGATCCAGGAGGGGCGGGCTGACCTTTTCACCTGGACCTGGTCACGAACCCCAGTTTTCTCATCCTTCAAGTGGGATGAGAAATCCCAGGAGTCGTGAGGGCTAGAGCCAGGCTCCCTGCCTCAGAGAAAGGTTTAAAACAATGTTGTCATGCAGGAAATGATGCGTAGTAGGGAAAGGGGGAATGAGATTTTACCTTGAGCAAGAAGACATGGAGTCAGGGGACTGAGAGGGGTTTCAGAGAAGAGACCTTTAAAAGGTCAGGTTAAAATGTAAAGAAAAAAAAGTGTTCACGTGTTGGGATAATAGGAAGTAGACAGGCAAAAAAACAAAACAAAACAACAACAACAAAAAAACATTTTTCCTCCCCAAATACAGATTTGCTTTTGTCTTCGAGTCTCTTTTTGCTTGTATCCCTCTATCCTGAAAATTTTCGTGATGGTCCTGACCCCACTACATCAGTTATCCACTAAGAGTTCCTCGCACACTCACCAATAAGTCCCTGAAAGAGCCGAGAGCTGCGCCCCCTTGCGGCAGTCTGACTGAGGCGTGCTGCTTTACCCCCAGGCCGGGGTGAAACAGAGGTCACCGGCTTGGCAGAAGCAGCAAAGGCTTTGGTAGCGCCCGGATTTGGATTTCAATCTGGGATTTACCTCACAGCGATTGTGACTGTTGTAAACATTGCCCTACCTAAAGCACACAGTGGGGTATCTTAAATTTAATTCTAGTGAACCAAAGACTCGTTTTTCAAGGAATTTGAGTGAAATGTACACCTTTCACAAAGAAACTGTCACATAAAAAAAAAAAAAAATCAGTAACAGTCGCTTCCTTTCCCTTCAAATTTAAAATGTTCATTTCTCTCTAAAATTCTGACTAGGTCAGGGCCATGTCCCTGCTGGCTCTCAGGCAGCTTTGATCCAGGAGCTTCGACGGTCCTGAGGAGTGTCTCCCTGCCTGGCTCCAGGTTCTGTCTTCTGGATCCACCCACACCTCCATCACCAGCCACATCTACAGCCTCTGGGGCCTGGTGGGAGCAGAGGGTGCCGAGTACGTGAAGCTCTGTCTTGGAAACTGACCTCCAACCTGCCTCCAACCTGCCCCAGCCTTTCATCTAGTCACTCCCCCTTCCCAACACAGGCATTTGTCTCCATGAAAGCATTGCTCTGGGGAGGACATCTGCACCCAGAAGAAATACTGTACTGGGTGGAGTAGAATGTTACTTAGAAGCCTAGTTACCTGAATCAGCTTGTTTTCTTTATTGAAAGTGAGGATCTGGCTAACTTTAATCAACTCTCCATAACTGAGAATTCCCTTCATGAACTCTGGGGACTTCCTGTGCTTTTTACAGTTCTGGCTAAAATCAGAATTCTCCCTAGCACCCTCCTATCCATACTATCTATCCCTGTGACCCAGATAGAATCCTCCCATACATACCATCACCATCTGACTCTGACCTCTTTCCCAGGAGCATAGCTTCTGCCCTAAAATGTAACCCCCCTCTCCCATGAAACACATAAAACTCAGACACAGACACACACACACACACACACACACACAGCAACACCATAATACTCTCTCTTCCTCAGTAACTAGATCCTGCTCTGAAATACCCCCTCTCCAGTAGTATAGGTCCTGCCTTGAAATACCGATCCCCCTCCCCAGTAGAATTAGATTCTGCCCTGAAATAGTCTCCTCCCTCCTCTAGTGTGAGAGCATCCAATCCTCCTAGATCCCTTTCAGCACCATATTTGTGTGGCCTTGTAGATCCCATAAACCATGTTGGAACTTTGCAATTGTCCCCCACAGAACTTTATTCCACAGTTTTTCCTGTTAAATTTTTTTTGACCAGCTTCTTGTAGACCCCAACTGGTAGCACTGCCTATTAAACAATGGTTGATGATTGTTTTTAACAAATTCTCTCGGGATAAAGCGTTCCTACAGGTCAAGTTCTGAGTCAGATCAAATAAAGACAACCCTGAGACAGGAGCCCTTTATGAAGCTGCTAGACAGGTTAAATAGTGATAATTCTCTGGGGGAGGGCTTTTGGAAGCTCTGATCCCAATCCTATTCTATTCCCTCCAGAGACTCCTTAGATGCTAGTTTTCATGGTTGCAATCATTGCAAGGTTTAAGTGACTGATGAGTGCCCAGTTTTCCTCCAAAAGCTAGTGAAATCAAAGATCATCAGGAGTAAATGATTTACTTCAGTGGGGGGTTGGGGATCCCAGATAAGCTTCTAAGATGTTACCGGCAGGAGTCAGGGTTCATGTTACAGAGAGTTGAAGAATGAATACTGCAAATGCCAGGTAAACAAATAAGCAGGAATTTTATTAAAAAGAGAAATGAAAGAAGCACTCAGAACCCCTGGTGCAGTGTACCTGAAAGGGGCTAGAATTCTCTTTAAAAAAAATGTATGCCCTTTAAGTCTTACAGCATTCCTCTGTCTATCGATGGATCTATTTATTTATTTTAGTACCAGGGATTGAACCCTGGATTAACCACTGAGTCACCTCCCCAGCCTTTTTTATTTTTTATTTGGATATAGGGTCTCACTACGTTGCTGAGGATGGCTTTCAACTTGCCATCCACTTGCTTCAGCCTCCAGAGCCGCTGGGATTACAAGTGGGTACCACCAGGCCCGGCTAGCATTCCTTCTCTTAAAAGCACCTAAGGATAAGTTGATAAGCTCCTTTTGGTTACTTCTTGGTATTTCAGTTATCTTGCTCGGGTGCAGGCAGGCTTATAGTTTCTATCCAGGAGATGGAGAGCAACGCCTTTGAGAAACAGAAACTGTTTTATGACATGCTGGGACATGTTGAAATAACCCTTCTCCTGCTTGCCCTCTTGCGGACCTTCACTGTCCCTTCACTCCCCTGGACACCTGTCCTTTCCTTTCAGTGAGACCCTTGCCTGGGTAGCTGCTGCTCTGACAAGAGATAATCGCCTTTCCTTCATTAATCGTTGTGATGATTTCCATTCTAGCTCAAAAAATTTTTCAGTTTAGAAAACTTCTCAACCTCCCTGTTCAATGCAGAGCCTCCTCCTCCCACGCCTGTTCCCCCTTTCCTCCTGAAGCCTGGTTTCCTGCAAGTTCTCTCCAGCCACGCCCTGGCCAGCATGTGCTCTGCTTTATGTCCTTGGTGCCACGGGGATCATTAACTTCTCTGTTGCACTTATCAATTAGGAAAGCTTTGCCACTGTTGGATGCACCTCGGTTGGTCCCCTGAGGGAGGAGGCTGGAGGGGATGTCTGTGACAGAGCTACATGCCCCTCCCTCCTGGAGCCCCGCCCTCTGCCCTGAGTCAGGCTTTGGGCAGTTAATCCCTCTGTCTGGCAGCTGTGTCACCTCTTGCTAAGTGTTCTCTGTCCTGCTTCCCCAGGGGAAGCCAGAAGGAGAAGACCTACCTTGCCATGGACTCTGGGGTCAGCAACTGTGGGCACGATGGCAGCTTGGTGAGTGCTGGTGGAGATGGGGGGGAGAGGAAAAGGGGAGCAGGAAGGAGGCTGGGGAGTCCCAGGGGGGTCCTGCTGCTCAGGTTCGGATTATCAGTCGCAATGGTAGCTCCCTCCCTGCCTCCAAGCTCAGCTCCCTCAGGGCCTGTCACCTCAGGTGACCATCACAGCAGACAGGCTTTCCTGAGCACTCCTCTGCGTGTGGCAGGAAGCAGTGGGAAGAGGAGGAAGGCTGGATTTCCCGACCCTGCTCCGTCCATGCTGATGGCTTTCCCTTTGCCTCCAGGCGGCCTCTGTTGAAACTGAGTGTTGTTTTTCTGGGTTCTCAGCCTTGGACTTTCTCTTCTGAGAAGGTTTTTCGGATTCCAAGGCTTGGGAAGGAGTGAGGGCAAAGAGTCAGAGGGAAGAACTTCCACTAGAGGGCGATGCTTCGGAGGCACTGTCTGAAGAGCTTCCTCCTTGGAGGCACTCTGGTCCTGCTGGAAGGGTGAGGGAGCTGCGGCTCTTCACTGTCCAGCACCCTCAGGCTTCTCCAGCCAGTCCTTGGGCCCCAGCCCCAGCACCCTTTCCAACCTATGGTGGCCACGTAAAATAACAGGGCGGCCCGAGTGGAAACCCTGTGTTCTTGTTGCCACCCACTGCAGGGCCTTACGAGCCTCTTCCTGGAGGCCAGGGCTGTGGCCCCAACCAGGAACAGCCAAGGGATCTGGGGACACTGGCCATGGGGGAACCTGGGGAACCTGGGCTATGCTCACAAAGTGTTCCCTGGAGCCCAGTTGCCAGGCCCTGCCCATTGCTGGTCAGCGTTTGTAAATGGTGCTCAGTACTCGCTTCTGAGAGAGCTGAGGGATACTGAGAGAAAAGCTCTTCAGCTGGCCTTACCACAGAATTATTTCAGCCATTTTTCTCAGAGAAAAAAAAATTCAAGGGGATAAGCTGAAGACTCCATTCCTCCATTTCCTGAAGGCTGTGGTGTTTCCTAGAGCTTGGGCTTCCATGAGGAACCCGGAGAGCAGTGGTTCTGGGCAACTGTGCGTCTCCTTTTCAGTGGGTTTGGAGCAGGGCACCAGGTAAGGAAGGACCCTGAGGCGGGATGCTGAGGCCACAGTGGGAGAAACCTGGACAGTTCATCTGAGCGTAGGTGAATGGCGGTGTTAGGTGGGGTCTGGACCCTGGGAGGAATGGATGGCTGTGTCAGGTACACATGGTGTCAGAGAGGCAAGGGGCCCACCTCACCTGGGGGATCGTTGCTGCTCCCACTGCAGCAGGGCTTCCTCTTGCTTGTTCTTCTACTCCTGGGAGGCTAAGGACCACCCAGTACCCAGAGGGCCACAGCCTTGGGCAGCTGCCCTCCATACCTGGAGATGCGGTGGATTACTATGCAGACACCTTGTGACTTCATTGATCCTCTGTCTCCTCTTCTCTCAATGGAGACAATGAGATGGTCGTGAGATTCAGAGGAGAGGATGCACTGGAAGATCTTTGTAACTTGTAACGTGCTGGAAAATGCCAAGGCTCAGTAGATGTCTCTTTGGATCAAATCTTCCAGTGAAATTACAGTTCACATATTGAATAGAGAGATGTAGTGTCAACGTGAAGAGGTTGTTGGTGCCCATCCTTTTGTACCGTTGCTCATTGTTGGAGTGTTCTTCACGAAGAATCCATTCTTCCTCCAGGAAGGGGCTCATTGGCTTTCTTCTGCTGCTGTGTGGGTCACATGCACAAATGCCCTCAGAAGAGGCCTCTCCCTCCCCCATTGGAGAATTCCTGCTCTGCAATACAGGTGTCCCCTGTTTCTGTGGATGTCTAAGATGCTCAGGGTTCTTTTCTGACACTCAGACTCTAAGTCTACTGTGTCCCACTGTGTCCCTGCTGGTTTTGTTTCTATGACAGACATCTTTCCTTGGATGACTTAAGGAAGTTTACAACAAAAGATGTATTTATAAACAGGCGAGGAAAACAGACACCAAGTGCCACAAAAGGAGAGGGAGGCCATTGTGTTTGGGGACAGGCGCGTATCATTGAGGTCAAGGTGTCATTCTGGGGCTCCGTGCTTTCCCCCAACACTAGCTGATGGCTTCATGGAAGTGACACATGTTTTTCCCAAGGGAGAACCAGGTGTCCTCAGGGAAGACAAGCTTTTCCCAGCTGTAAGTTTTAAACTTTTTCAAGTAGGATTTTATGGAGAATCAATTTCCCAAACCGTTGTTTTAAGCCAGTGCAGATATGATTTCCATAAGTGTCAGATGGCCCGTATTGACATAAAGACAGAACTTGGGAATTCAGACTGGTGACAGTCTTTGATGTTGGTCTCCACTCTTCCTTTTCTGGAAAAAAAGGGCAGGTTACAACCAGTTTTCCCAGTCCAGGTTCTTTCTCCCTTTTCCCCTTCCCCTTCCTGGGAATTTTGTGAGGTCATGGGAGAAGATGAAGTGAACTCGCTGGGAGGACAGACAGCTGTAGGGGCCACAGCTCATTCCTTCGTGGGCACACAGGACGTGGTGGCAGCACGCAGCACAAAGCTCACGCCTCTGATACCTTTATGACTATCCCAGATTCTAGGTGGTGGGACTGAGGCTGGGAGAGGTGAAGTCATGTGCCGAGGGTCATTGAGCCGGGAAGTGACAGAATCACATCTGTCCAAGTTCTTTTGTATTCTGCCTGCACCTCTCTGAGTCACCTTTCTAGAATCAGTTAATCAATCAATCAATTATCAATCAATCAGCCTGTGTCACACATCTTTTCTTTCCTTCTCCTCCTTCTCTTTCCTGTCTGTTTTTCTCTGCTGTCCCTTACAGATTCCTGCATACCCCTTATGAGAAGTTCCCAGAAGTTCACCACTTCCTGCAGTTCATTCCTCTATATTTAGACCAATGCCGACCTCAATTGGAAAAACAGATTTTTTTTTCATGTGCAACCAGGTACCAAGAATCATCCATATAGCCTTCCAAGACAATTACTAAATACTTAAGTAGAGGGTAGCATATATGGTGTGGATATGTTGGACAAAGGGATGATTCACTTCCTAGTAGGATGGAGCTGGAGAGTATGAGATTTCATCACGCTATTTGGAACAGCATGCAATTTAAAACTTACAAACATTTTGTTTATTTCTGGAATTATTCATTTAATATTTTTGCTCTATAGTTTTACCTTGAGTAACTGAAGGGTTGGAGATGGAGCCCCTGGGTAAGGAAGGGGGCTCTGTAAAATGTTCCCTAGGGACAGTTCTGAACTCACGAATGTGGGACAAACACCCTGCTTTTGATCTGGCAGTTTTCTGGACTTCTACCTCATCTAAACAAGTGGCAAACTCACTGTATCTACTGCCACTTCTGCAGAGCAGAATCACAGATCCACTGGGTTGGGTAGGCACTGTTCCCAAGGCCTTAGGACTTTTAAAGGCCCGTGACAAAATTTTCATTTCTTTTACAATTAGTTGAAGGGAATACACTTACGATCAAAGAAAATATTTTATTATGTTAATATATTCCTCTTTATACCTATGTAGTCCCCAAATATAATTTTAATATTCTTTTAAGTAGGAAGGAGCCCATAGAATCAAGGTGCCCAGCACCTGCCTATCAGTGTCACAATGTGGCCCTACTCCAGAAATGTTCTTGGAGGCTGGACTGAAGTACAGGGTACTTAGACATGGAGGTGGGCATTGGAGTTGATGACTTCAACATTCTTTCCAGAAATGTCTCCATGAGATACCTGTAAGAGTGCAGACCCTGCCCCCATGGTCTGGCCAGGGACCAGGGTCCCCCTGTGGACACTTCACATAGAGTGGCCGATCTTCATGCTAGTGGCCTTGACACTTCTGGCCACACCAGAGGCAATGCTTTCATATTCCTACAACCCATGGTCAGATGCTCAGCTGTGGGCCTCAGCCCATATTCAAAGCCCTTCCATTTAAGGAGGTTGATAAATACTGCAGCTAATATTATTGGGTAGTTACACTGTGCCTGGCCTGGATTATGTGGTTCTTCCTGCAATATAATTTTCTAGCCAGGTGAGGTGGCACATGCCTATAATCCCAGCCACTGGGGATTTTGGGGCAAAAGGATGGCAAGTTCAAAGTCTTGTTTCAAAATAAAAATTAAAAATGTCTGGGGATGGAGTTCAGTGGTAGAGCTCCCTTGGATTCAATCCCCAGTACTGGAAAATTAAATCAACTTTCTCAACCATCTGTGAGGGAGGTGTTAATTCTTTTATATAGATAAAATAACTGAGACTTGAAAATCTTACTAGTTTGGCCAAGGCTAATAAGCTCTACAGTGAAGGAGTAGGAGAGAGGGTCTACAATTCAGAGTTAATGTTGGTTAAACCCGGAGGAGTACAAGTTGGCTGTTGACACAAATCCTTCTGTGTGAACTGCAATCATTTACCTTGGCATGTTACATTCAGTGAGCCTGTCTACACTGAGCACAGGAACTGCACGAGAGACTGGGGTTGCGAAGGCAAGGAAGACAATTTCAGTAAGTTCTTCCTGATATTCACAACCAGGAAAGAACAAGGATGGAGACCGTCCATTATGATAAAACACACTCGGAACAGGGCTTTGGCAATGGAAGCACATGCAAAGTACCATGAGGGAACCTACCATCTTCTACCCTGGAGGTTACCACCTTCTCCCCCACAGAGCTGCCTCATGTCTGCCAAGCCTTTGGGTAAGGCCTGCTCTCCCCTTGCATGGCTCCAGACTTGACACAGAAGCTGGGATGCAGATGCACAATATAGGAAATCTCAGTGTGTGGAGTCTGATCTTATATCACCTGCTGACTAACATTATCCCTGCCCCACTGCCTCTGGCTCTGGGAAGGCTGTCCTACCATCTAATGGGAGTCAGGAAATGTTCTTGTTTCTTCTTGAAATGCTCACATGTGTCCTTCTCTTGTTCCTAGCAGACGGACGATGGCGTGCTCAGTTTCCACACTGATGGCCAGGTCACAAGAAAGGATGGACAGCCTAAGAGTCCCCGTAGCCACCTGGCCTATGGCGTTTTGGACATCCCACCGTGGTATCTCTGCATCTTCTTGGGGATCCAGGTAATGCCACTCTGCAAGCACTAGGTCCCAAGAGGCTCTGCCTCCCAAGTTACCAGGTCACACAACCAGGTCAAACTGTCAACACCGCCGACTTCAGCTAGCTTCTTGTCTTCCATATGCTTGACCTTCAGGGGAACTCAATCCCCTTTAATCTCCCTGTCTCTGGGCATTTGGGGATGGAAATGTGTTATTACAAAAGGATTCTTCCTCATGCTGAGCTGACTGGTCACATCAATGACACAGACTATTCCATTGTTCTCTGGACTGGGATCAATGGCTTGGTTAAGTCTACATCATGTAGATGAAGTCAGAGAAGTGCTAGGCTCAATAGCTTCCTGGTGCCAGCCCTGCCTAGTGGCACAGCACCTGCCTAGAATATGGGTAGGTGATGAGTTCAGTTATCAGCCCTGAAAAGGGAGAAAAAGATTTTTTTTTCTAAGAAGAGGGAGTTGACCCTGATAATTGTGGTCATCCCTTGTTGTTGGACAAATATGAGGTAGGAAATGAAACACTGGTCGATGTTTGGCCTAGACAATCTTGTGTCTTGTATTGACCTGGCTGTTGGAAGGTCAAGAACATTGATAAGAGGTCATGAAGGATGAGACATCTCATGTCATGTATCCCAAAGGGACTTGGGAGTGATGGCAAGGATTGTCGAAGGGAACCTACATATATATCGACATTTCTTCTCTGGAGCCCCCACTCCTCTTCCTTAAGGGGCAGTTCACCCCTCACTGATTATGGTTTGTTGAAGTTGTCAGGTTAATCAAGGAAAGAAGAGTGGGCGACTTTTCTTTTAGTGGGAGTTCAAAGTCTGCTCTGCTTCCAACACATATCTCATCCCACCTTCTTCTGCTAAAGACAGGTGCTCTTCATACTAGTTGGATTATTCCAGAACATTCAACGAGGGGATTAACCTCACTACATAATCCTCTGGTCCTTTTGAGACATTGCTTGGCATGGTAACAGGAGCTGGAACTGTCCCCTTAAAGAAACCTGGCCGTGGATTTCACTTCCATTTTCCTTCCATTGCTATTTCCACTCATATGGCTGGAGAGATGTGGGGGTCCCTGTCCCTAGGTGCTGTGGCCCAAGGTTCTTCCTGGCACCCAGGACTGTCCCATCTTAGGCAGTGGAACCTACCTCCTATCCTTCTCAGAGGGCCAATCCTGTGTCCTGCTGGAGTAGTACACATTCTGAGACTCCATTTTCCCTGAGGGTATATGGGGTGTGGAAAAACGGGTGCATGCAGTGTATAGACGATTTTAGTTTTTCCTTAATATTCTTAAAAAATCCTAATTTTTATCTGGTCTAATTTAGCTCACATTGAGATTTCGGATCAAACCCCAACAAAATAAGAACAGAAGAATGTGCCTTATTTTGCTTCCTTTTGTGTAGGTCTGGCTGTTTTGTGGACAGGAAGAGTGCTAGGGACAGGCAGGGTCAGGTGTTCTGGGCCTTGTGTCTTCATTCCACCTAAGGACACCTTGAGAGAACTCTTCAAGGCACTGCCCCTCACAGTGAGCTTTAAATTTCCCTCCTTTCTTCCTCCTTCATTCCTTGTTTATTCCTCGACTGGCCCAGCAGCTAACTTTTGTAACCAAAGCAAACCAAGCCTGCCTAACCTTCCTTCACTAGGCCCTATTCTTATAGGATGAGGTAGACCCCCACTCTACTGGGTGAACCTGCAATGGTACATTTGCTGCAAATCAGAGGGATCCTATCAGCACCCACAACATGCTGTGGTTCTGGTCAGTTAGTTGCTTGGCTACCTTGTCATGGGGGCGAGGGACGCGGAATCAACACACAGACTCCAGGCGCTGGTGAGAGAACTGGCTGGAGACCCACCTCAGGTCGTTGTCCAGTAGCTCAGTTTATTTTTGGAATGCATACAATTGTTATAGGGTTCAAGTGCGTAGTGCACATCAATCATACACAAGCAATATAGTATCCATAAGCCAATCATCTGATGCCTAATGTAACCACACTATGAAGATGCTCTAAATATTGCTATTATCAGGAAGGGTCTTTCTCTCTGGGGAGGGGGTTTCTAAGTTAGAAGTTCCATGTGGAAGCTCCTGGCTATCAGTTTCCTGGCCTGGCAGCTTGGCAATGCTAACCACAAGTGCTATGGATGTGGTTTCACTAACGGCTCCCTAGAGCAGAGCATCCCATCCTGTTCCTATCAGGACCGAACGAGTGTAGATTCTTCAAGCACTCCGAGCTGCTCATAGCTGCTAGCTGCTAGCTGGAAACTGAAAGTTATTCCAACAACAATAGGAGGCCCTGTGACTGTGCCAGCAGAGGCATGGCCCAGCTCAGCAGAGCATGGGGAGGATCGGAGCAAAGGAAAGAAGCAGGTGGCTTCATGTGTCTTTGTTCTCAGAACATTTGGCTCATTGGTCAGATTTTTTGGTGGACACTAGGGATTGAACCAGAGCTCACTCTCCCACTGAGGTACATCTCCATTCCTTTTTTACATTTTATTTTTATTTTGAGACAGGGTCTCTCTAAGTTTCTGAGGCTGGCCTTGAACTTGTGATCCTCCTGCCTCAGCCTCTCTAGTAGCTGGGATTAAAGGCATGTGCCAGAACACCTGGCTCCATGGTCAGCTTTGTGTGGGGATTGAAGCCACACACTGGACACTTGGTGTGGCTCAGAACAGAAATGGCCACAGCCCATGAAAACCCCTTAAGACCTGCTCAATGTTTCTGCTCTGGAGCTAGAGTGTGTGAGACAGTATTGATTGCTTGGCCCCCTATCAATCTACCTGCTCTCCTTCTAGCTATGTTTCTATGTATATACTCTATCTCTAACTGTCTTCTATTTATCTCCTGGCTATTACTCATGTACATGTAATTTACCCTGTGCATAACTGAGGCCGTCAGCTATGAGCTCTGTCCTGTCCTGAACTCTGGGTCTAACTCTGTCCTTTCAGGAGACCTCAAACAGCCGTGGGCCAGTGGCTCCAAGTGAATGCTCAGGCCTTCCTTGTCAATGGCTCTCACTGTTGCGTCATGGAGTGAGGAGCCCCTTGCTATGGTCTTATTCTTAGGCCCTCATTTGGTTCCTGTTATGCCCACCTGTGCTTATGTTTCTGCCTCAGTTTCTTTCCTAGGATACCAGTTCCTGATTCCTGAGCCCTGCTCTCACAGCCCAGTTCCTCTGGTGGGGTCACTGTTTCCCATGCCTAGTTCAGATGTTTGCCCCTCACTCATGGCTGGACCTCTGAAAAGCTCTTGAGACTGGACCTGGGAAGGGCATCCTTGTTAAGGGTAGGGTTGCATCCTTTCTGGGTATAGTCACAGAATTCACACGCTCACATCCTGTCTCTGTCCCTAGCACTTCCTCACAGCCCTGGGAGGAATGGTAGCAGTGCCACTCATCCTGGCTAAGGATCTGTGCTTGCAGCATGACCCCCTGACTCAGAGCTACCTGATCAGCACCATCTTCTTTGTCTCTGGCATCTGCACTCTCCTGCAAGTGCTTTTTGGGGTCAGGTAAGTAAAAATACTCCCCCTGGATTTTGACTTACCAGCCAACTATCATCAAGGTCTGCATGGCCCGCAGCTGGGGAGATGGGTAGGAAGCTGGAGTGGTGTAATAGAGGGGTGCTCCATCCATTTACCTCTTTCCCTCTCTCTATTTATCTCCAACTCAAGACTGATGATCTGTATTAGCCAGAATCTTGATGGACAGTAACACAAATCCAGATTGGCTTATGGGAAAAATTTTTTTTAGATGTTGATGGATCTTTATTTTATTCATTTATTTATATGTGGTGCTGAGAATTGAATCTAGCGCCTCACACATGCTAGGCAAGTGCTCTACTACCAAGCCATAGCCACAGCCACAGCCCTGAAAATGTGTTCTTTATTAACTTAAAAGAACAAAATAAGAAAAATGCAGGGTTACATCCATGTCTCCAGAACATGAAGAACCCAGGACTCAAATGCCTTTGAGCTCTCTGCTACCTCCCTCTTTCTCTGTTTCTCCCTGTTTCTGCTCAGGCATTGTTTGTATCAATGGAGATTCAAAGATTCAATGTGTGAATGTTAGAAAGTCATAACCCAAGCTGACATGCTCTGAAATACATCATGTCCCTGTTTTCCCACCTGGAAGGCCAGGTTTGGATTTTTATTTCTCTGGCTCCTTAGAGTTCTCCTTTGGAGTCTGGCAGTACTGGGACACCAGCCTCCAGCCTGTTCCCCACCCACCCCACTTCATGTTTTGCTCCAGATCACAAATGGTCTCACAGGCATGAGTGAGGACACCCCAACCTGCTTATCCAAGCTTCCCACAACAGACTCCCCAACAGCTGGCCCTTTGCTAACCTTCAGGCCTGGGGGTGCACCATTCCTTCATTGTCTGCTCTAGCACATCAGGACTGGAAAGGGGCCCAAATGGGCACAGGGCCACTCAAGCAGAGAAGCTGAGAGACTCATAGGGAGGGGGCCTCTCCCCTTGATCCTCTCTCTCTGAAGAAGCCATGCTCCATACTCCAGAGCTTAGAGCTAAGTGTAGGCTGCATACCTGTCCTGGTGGGGAGGGCAGGACTCTGACAGCATCTGAGAGTTTTCTCTTAGTCTTTCTTTTTCTTATGGTACATTATATTTGTACATATTGATGGGATTTTTAAATCACATATTCCTATGTGCACATAATAAAGTAATTTAATTTGGTCAATGTCATCCCCAGCACTTCCACCCTCCCTCCTTCTTAGTCCTTTTCCTCTACTGGTCTCCCTTTGATTTTCACGAGATCCCCACCACCACCACCTTTCTTTTCCTTTTTCCTCTCTAGCTTCTGCATATGAGTGAAAACATATAACCCTTGACCTTTTGAGTTTGACTTATGTCACTTAACATAATGGTCTCTAGTTCCATCCATTCTCCTGCAAATGACATAATTTCATATCTTTCTTTAGGTCTGAAAAAATATATCTATATCTGTATCTATATCTATATATCTATATCTATATCTATCTATCTATCTATCTATCTATCTATATATATATATATCACTTTCTTTATCCATTCATTCATTGATGGACACCTAGTTTGTTTCCATAGTTTGGCTGTGGTGAATTGTGCTGCTATAAGATGGGTATACATGTATCCCTGTTTAGTAAGTTGACTTTAATTCTTGAGAGTAAATACTGAGAAGTGGTATAGCTGTGTCATATGCTGGTTCCATGCCTAGTCTTTTGAGGAACCTTCATACTGATTTGCATAATGGATGTATTCATTTACAACCTCATCAATAGTGTAAAGTGTTCCTTTTTCTCTACATCCTCTTTAGCATTTATTATTATTTGCATTCTTGATGATTGCCATTCTAACTGAAGTGAGATGAAATCTCAGTGTAGCCTTGATTTGCATTTCCCTACTTGATAATACATTTTTTTCATGTGTTTGTTGGCCATTTGTATTTTTTCTTTTGAGAAGTGTCTAATTCATTTCCCCATTTATTAACTGGATTATTTGATTTTTGGTGTAAAGTTTCTTGAGTTCTTTATATATCTGTATATTAATTCTGTTAGATGAGTAGCCAGCAAAGATTTTCTCCCATTCTGTAGATTTTTCTCTTCACATTCCTAATTGTTTCCTTTGCTGTGCAGAAATTAATTTGAAATCATTCCATTTATTAATTCTTGGCATTATTCCTGAACTTTAGCGGTCCTACTGAGAAAGTCATTGCCTGTGCCTTATGCTAGAGTATTGACTCTGTGTTTTCTTTTAGGATTTGTATAGTTTTTGATTCCTAGGTCTTTGATCCATTTTGAGTTGATTTTTGTGCAGCATGAGAAATAAGGGTTTAGTTTCATTATTCTACATATCTAGTTTCATTATTCTACATACAGCATTGTTTGTTAAAATAACTGTCCTTTCTACAATGTATGTTTTTTGCACCTTTGTCAAGGATCAGATGACTAGAGATGTGAGGATTTGTCTCTGTGTCTTCTATTCTATACCATTAGTTTATGTGTCTGTTTGTATGTCAGTACCATGCAGTTTTTGTTACTATAGCTCTGTAGTATAATTTGAAGTCAGGTATTGTATTGCGTCTAGCATTGCTTTTTTGGTTTAAAACTGCTTTGGCTATTCTGGGTTTTCTATTCTTCCAAATGAATTTAGGACTGTTTCTTCTAGTTGTGTGAAGACTGTAATTGGTATTTTGTTGGGGATTTTATGGAATCTATATATTGCTTTTTGGTAGCATGGCCATTTCCACAAAATTAATACTGCCTATCCATGAATATGGAAGGTCTTTCCATATTCTGATGTCTTCCTCAATTTCTTTCTTCAATGATTTATAGGTTTCATTGTAGAGGTCTTTTACCCCCTTAGTTAGATTTATTCCTAGGCATTTCATTTTATTTTTTTGAAGCTATTGTGAATGTAACTGTTTACCTGATTTCTTTGTCAGCTGATTCATTGTATATAGAAAAGCTATTGATTTTTGTATGCTGATTTTGTGTCATGCTATTTGTCAAATTTGCATATTGGCTCTAGCAGTCTTTTGGTGGATTTTTTTGATCTTCTAGGTATAGGATCATATCATCTGTAAACAGTGATAATTTGTCTTCTTTTTTCCCTATTTTACTCCTTTTATTTCCTTCTCTTCCTTAACTGCTCTAGCTAGAGCACTATATTAAATAGAGTGGTGAGAGTGGATGTCCTTATCTTGTCCCAGCTTTTGAAGGAAATGCTTTCAGTTTTTCCCCATTTACTCTGAGGTTGGCTTTGGGATTTTTACATATAGCTTTTATGATGTTGAGGTAGGTTGTTTCTATGCCTAGTTTCTTCTGTGTTTTTAATCATGAATGGGTGCTGAATTTTGTTGAAGACCTATTGAAATGACTAAGTGATTTTTTTCTTAATTCTGTTTATATGAGGAATTACATTTACTGATTTGCTTATATGAAACCATCCTATTGCTGGAATGAAACCAACTTGGTTGTGGTGTACAATCTTCTTAATATGTTCTTGAACATGATTTGTTAATATTTTATTAAATATTTTTGCATCTAAGTTTATCAGGGGTATTGGTCTGTAGTTTTCTAATGTAGTTTCCTACATTAGATGTGTCCTTATCTGGTTTTGTTATGTGTGTAATCCTGGATTAATAGAATGAATTTGGAAGTGTTTCATCCCTTTTTTTTGTAGGTGTCAACAAACTTGCTTTAAAACACACACACACACACACACACACATTTACATATCAGTGTGACAAATATCCCTTCTACAAGATAGCTCTGCCACAATACGAGCTCCTGGAGATGCTCCAGAGAGAGCCTAGGCCTGGCAGTCTTCACATGACACCCAATAGGGGGCATTTTTATTAAATAAGTGGGGAGAAGCAAGGTGCACCCCAGGTATATGCTGTCTGAGGGCCTCATGCAGGACCAGAGCTCTGCTGCACACTCTTCATCACCTCTTCATTCTGCATAGACAACTCTGTAGACTTTTTGCCCATCCATTCATGAATGTCCAAATCATGCCTTTGGACAGTTCTGCTTCCTTATAGTGGAGAGACACACACTTCTGGAGGCAGGCACTGGTCATTCTGTTGTGCATGTCCACCATCATCTCCACTTCCAGCTCTGTTGCCAGCTGTTGGGCCCTGAGCAGATCCATCTCGGCCTAGCACCATGCAGAGAACCTCCTCCTGGTGTCCACAGCCCGGTGCAAGACACAGTTCCTACCATGTCCCTAATTTTAACAAATATTAGAACCTCCCCTGGTGCCCAAGTAGATCATGGTGTAAGCATGTGGACCACTTCCAGGAGAGGCCATCTCTTTCTATTTCATCGGATAATTTGAGGAGTTTGGGCATTAGTTGTTTTTTAAAGGTTTCATAGAAACCTGCTGAAATCCATCTGGTCTTGGGCTTTTCTTCATTGAAAGGCTTTTTATTACTGATTCTATCTCATTACAAGTTACTAGTATGTTCATGTTTTTAATGTTCTTTTGATTCAATTTTGCCAAATATATTTGTCTAGAAATATATCCATTTCTTCTAGGTTTTCCAATTTATTGGAATCTAAGTTGTCAAAATAGTCCCTAATGATCTGCTAGATTTCTGAGATGTATCTGGTGATTTTTCCTTTTTCATATCCAAATTTATTAATTTCTGTTTTCTCTCTTTTTCTTTTGGTTAGTTTGGCTAAGGACTTTTCAATCTTATTTATCTTTTCAAAGGAGCCAGGCTCCATCCTCCAAAGCTCAGGTCTAAGTATAGGCTGCTCTCCTCCCGGTTTGAGGACAGGACTCTGACAATGTCTGAGCTTCATTTTCTCAGAGAGGTTCTTGCAGTTTTTATTAGGCATAGTTCTCCAAAGAAGCAGAAAGAATCGGATGTGTATGGCCATATAGAAAATGAGATTTGTTATAGAAATTGGCTCCTGTAGAATTGGAGTCCAAGAAGTCCCATGATCTACCATCTGCATGCCGGAGAATAGGAACTATGGTGGTGTGATTTGGACTGAGTGCAAAGCTATCTATGGGATGTGGGGTGGAGGGTGGGAAGCCAATGCTGTAAGTCCTAGATGGAGTCTGAAATCTGGGGAACCAGGAGCAG